CATCTATTGTCACTTTTATTTCAGAAGAATTACCTTAAAACAACTCACTTTAGTTCATTTCTCCCAGTGATCCCACGATTAAAGTCTCAAGCATTCTTCAAGAAAGTTAATGTCAAACCTCGTGAGAATGCTCAAAGCGTGTGCTATTGTGTTTCTAACTAACACAAAACGTCTGTTTTAATTGAAATATGAATAACTTCAACTTTAATTTTCTCTCGTGGGGTCAGCTTAAGAGCTTAAATCTCGATAAGTTCTTCTTAACTGTATTCAGAATATTATCACGCCATGAGGCTTCTTTGGTAACTTAATTTTTGCTATTGTTGCTCGAATGTTCTGCGGAAATCATCTTAATCTTTTAGTCACATACATGTTATATGTGGGTTAATTACTTTGCTCTAAATATAAAATTATGTACCAGTGGTGGGAAAACATATTGTTATGTACTAAATTTGTGAACTCACCTCTGTGTTCATTCCCAACACAGGTATGTTACAGCAGATGGAGGATTGAAGAAAACAGAATAGAGAAAATATGAACAGATTGAGCACAAAAACAACCTTGTCACANAAGCATTAAATAATGCCAAAATGGGGCATTTTCAATGCCTCACTGCTTCTTAATGAGCATGGGCACCCCCCTTTTTTATTTCAAAATTTAAGTTATCATTTGACAAATATTCACTGGGCAAAGTTTGAACAAACATCTATTGTCACTTTTATTTCAGAAGAATTACCTTAAAACAACTCACTTTAGTTCATTTCTCCCAGTGACCCCACGATTAAAGTCTCAAGCATTCTCAAGAAAGTTAATGTCAAACCTCATGAGAATGCTCAAAGCGTGTGCTATTGTGTTTCTAACTAACGCAAAACGTCTGTTTTAATTGAAATATGAATAACTTCAACTTAAATTTTCTCTCGTGGGGTCAGCTTAAGAGCTTAAGTCTCGATAAGTTCTTCTTAACTGTATTCAGAATATTATCATGCCATGAGGCTTCTTTGGTAACTTAATTTTTGCCATTGTTGCTCGAATGTTCTGCAGAAATCATCTTAATCTTTTAGTCACATACATGTTATATGTGGGTTAATTACTTTGCTCTAAATATTAAAATTATGTACCAGTGGTGGGAAAACATATTATGTACTAAATTTGTGAACTCACCTCTGTGTTCATTTCCAACACAGGTATGTTACAGCAGATGGAGGATTGAAGAAAACAGAATAGAGAAAATATGAACAGATTGAGCACAAAAACAACCTTGTCACAATTACAACACTTTATCAACAAAACAATCCTGAGTCAATGCATATGAGTCATGGAATATTAGTGGCATCTCCAAAGAATGTAAATTCACTGATAACTTGTCACTGCA